GGACTAGGATAAGGGGTCAAAGCCTAGCCTATTTTGGTGCATGGCATGCGATGCGAATCCAAAATTGTTGTATTATTTGTGTATTTTCTACTTTATAAGTGTAAACACATTTTTGGTTTAAAAAAGAAAATAAGTTTTCCTACCGACCTACCCATTTTTTGGATTTTCCCAAAACGTGGCCAACACAAAAATTTTTTTCTTTTAGCCCAATGGCCAGTCATGGTCGATGATGTATGTTTACACCACTAACCTAAATAGTGAATGCAGTGTGTAGGCCTGGTGTCATCTTTCCTTATAGTTATAGTTTTTGTACAATCAATCTGTTGTGCTTTATTTAAAACATGGAAAACTTGGCTCGACTAACAGTTGTTATTCTGCAAGGCCTTGAGTACACAAATGTACAGAAACCAGAAATCAAAAGAAACTTAGAAATATTACATAATATTAACTAAGAATTGTTTAACTACCAAATATAAGTACACTACATCTTAAACTAACTTAACTATACTTTACAAATTAACTGGAACACCGAACAAAAAAAACAAAAAAAAAACAAAAAAACATAAGATTATGTTAGATACTACCACCATAGTGTTTCTAAAAACATTCTGTTAAGTGTATTTACAATATCGCAAATATGCTTTTTAAATAAAGAAAATTTCTTAACATTTTTTATAAGCCCTAAATGTGTTCCAAATTTTTGCACCTCTATATGGCAGAGTTCTCTTTTTGTAGTCTTATTGCTATATACACTATTTGTTTGTGAGTTCTAGTTTAGTTTATTATCTACAATAATTCCAAGATAATTGTGTTCCTCTACTAGAGTATTTCTTATATTCTCACTGTTTATACATTGTTCAATCATTGATTATTTTTCTCTTCGGTAATCAAAAATAATTTCTTTTGCTTTGTTAATGTTGATATTAAGATAGTTATTATTGCACCAATTAACAAGTTATCTATTTCTTTATAACAATCTACGTCATTTTCTACATATCCACTGATCACCATATCATCTGCGTTTTTAACTATTTTCACGTTTTGAGTCGAGCTAATAAAAGTCCCCTGTATATAGTAAAAAGAGCGAAGGCGACAAGACGCATCCCCGAGGAGTACCCATATTAATGATTTGAGATCCCCTATTTCAACTAATTGGGATCGACCCTCCAAGAAATTTAAAATCCATGATATTAGTTTAGGATTAACATTTTTTTGCTTTTTCAAGGTGATCTACAAGGTTGTGCAGGGAGTATGTAACTGCATCTTCTACACCCCCTTTCTCTCCTGTAGGCAAATTGCAGTGTGTCATGCATTTGAAATGTCTTGTTCACTTAAGAACTAATATTCAAAATATTTTTTCCAAGACATGTCATAGCCGTGGATTTCAAGGCCACTGGATGGCAGTCGTTTGGAAATGTAATTTTGTTGTTCTTTGTAAAGGAGTAATGTGACCAGTTTTTCAAACGGTTGTGGTATTACCATTGAGAAAATAGATGGTATTACACCATTGTCAACAGACAATTGGAAGAGCCAAGTGAAAATAGGTGAAAGTTGGTGGCTACACAGATGTTAAGTAGCTTATATCTGGCCCCGTGGCCTTATTTACCTTTGTATTAGAGAATAGCTTTTTAACATCATTCTCGTCTACTACAATTTGTTTTCCATTTCTATCATTAATTAATTTTCTTATTTCTAATAATTTGGCTTTAAAATCAAATCTATCAAATCTAAAATAGAAGTTGTGATAATTTGGTTTTAGTACAGTATCTTCAAGTTAGCTACAGTATAATCTTCAATTACTATTTTAGTACACTAATAGATTACTCAAATCCTATGCACAAATTCAATGTAATATATTCAAAATGCTGCAGGTGGCATTGTATTACATAAAATTTTGCCAAGTAAAAATCATTTATAACCAATCTCATCAGCACACAGTTGTCGATGAAGAATAGAGATTGATGTACAAGTACTGTGAACAAAAGCTAAAGAACCAAGATTGATCAGCTTAGACATTTGCTTAAGGCAACAAACCAACTGAAACAATTAAATGTAAGTTATCAAATAGTTTCATCTGGTTTTGTATCAATATGTCTAAAAATTTTTTAAATAAATAATCCAATATGTTAATGTTGACTTGTGCAACCTTTTTTTTTACGCAAGACAAAAGCTTGCATCATAAAGACAACATCAGCATGTTGTTTATTTAAAAATATTTTAATGGCTGCATAAATAAGTTATTCATTTTCAGAACTAAATGTTATAATTTTATTGATAAATGCTTTTTTTCTTTATAAAAATATATTTTTTACCAAAGAAGACCACATTTCCTGTTTCCAAAATTTGATTTTATTTTGCCTTATAAAATTAAGATTTGAGCCGATCACCATATTACTAGCCTAAGGTGGGTGTGTTGATTGGCACTGAACCTTAAATACACGTTCCAACAACTGACTGTTTTCTATGCTAAGACAACACCAATTTTTGGCCTAATACTGTATTTCACTGGTTCCCAAAGGCTTAAAATTTTGGAGTGAAACATACATGAGCACTTTCATTACCATTGTTTCCTACAGTAGTTAGCTAATGGCTACTCTCCATGTTGAAACACATTGATTTGGTTAGTTGTGTATTCTCTGTGGTCAAGATGCATACTGTAGGTTAATGAAATTCTAAATAGGATTGTTTGATTGTTGTACATCATATTTTTGACCATTCATTCTTTTTTATTCTTCATTCTATTTTTTAATAGTCATTCAAGCAACATTGTTCATTCAGTCAATGAATCATTTCAGTTTTACAATTAATCATTCATTCAGTCATTCATTTAATCTTAAAAACTGATCAATATTCTATTCAGTCACTCATTATTCTTTCATCCATTCATTTATTTATTTATTCAATCAGTCATTCATTCATTCATCCTTTCATTCTATATCTTTTATTCAGTTTTTCATTCAATCATATTTTATCATTCATTCGTTTTTATAAATTGATACTAAGATTGAAAAATTTAGCTAAAATTAAAATTGTAACATAATAAGCAAATTTTTAATTTTGGACTAAAATAGCAAAAGTCCTATTTCTGATCCGATACAATACATTCAGCAAGGCTTAATAAGTAAAGTACACTTCATACAAGTCCTGCCTCACCCCTCCTTTGTCTGGAAAAACTAATAAAACCATTTTCTCCTCTAGATTTATAATGTGTTTGAACAGTTGGATTTTTTTCGCTGTCACACTATCAATAGGCAAATCTACAAGATGCCAAGACATAGTGGTAACAATTACCCAAGGCAATATTCTTGGTAAACGGCTTGATGTCTTGGATAAATCTGTTGATGCATTTCTTGGTATACCCTATGCTGAGCCACCAAAAAACGAGAGACGCTTTAAGCATCCTGAACCCAGGAAACCATGGCCTGGAACATTGAATGCAACAATGTATGGATTTGGCTGTATGCAGTTACATGATCTCGTGTTCCCAGGCTTCAAGGGAACTGAGATGTGGAATCCAAATGTGGAACTTGACGAAGACTGTTTAAATTTAAATGTTTGGGTGCCATATCCAAGACCAATAAATGCTGCTGTAATGGTGTGGATTTACGGTGGAGGCTTTTACAGTGGTGTTGCATCACTTGATGTTTATGATGGCAAAACGCTTGCTGCTGAAGAAAACATCATTGTTGTGTCAATGAACTATCGTTTAGGAGCACTTGGATTTTTAGCAATGGGCGATGAAGCACCAGGAAATGCGGGCTTGCTTGACCAAGCTCTTGCACTTCGGTGGGTGCAAGACAACATCGCTCGATTTGGTGGAAATCCAGATGCAGTGACGTTGTTTTCTGAGAGTGCTGGCTCTGCTAGTGTGAATTTCCACCTATTCTCACCTGTTAGTCGCAACCTATTCAAAAGAGCTATTATGCAGAGTGGATCTGCCAATGCTCCGTGGGCGTATTATACTAAAGAGGAAGGTACTCGAAGAGGAGAGTTGCTTGCTACAAAATTGAATTGCACTATTAGTACGGATGGTCAGACATTTAGTGTAAATGAAATGGTACAATGTATGCGTTCACGTAAAGTTGAAAATATCCTAGATGAAATGTGGGTTACTGCCGAATTTATGAAACTACCGTTTGTTCCAGTAATTGATGGCACATTTATTAGAGAGGCCCCTGAACTCACAATGAAAACAAATTCTTTTCAACCGTGTGAAATAATTATTGGTAGTAATCTCAATGAGGCAAACTTTTTTTTGATATATGGAGTTCCAGGATTCAATAAAGATAACTCTAGTATACTGGATGAATTAATGTTTCAAAAAGCAATTGAATACATCTGGTCCACTGCTAATGAATTTTCCCATGATGCAATTAAATTTCAATATACCGATTGGTTATATCCTGGGAGTCATTCAAAACGCAGAGATGCTATTGATCAGGCACTTGGCGACGCCTGTTTCATTTGTCCCACCTTCCAATTTGCCAAATCACATGCTAATTTCAAAAATATAGTTTATTATTATCGTTTCACACAGCGGGATTCAAACCATCCATTCCCAGAGTGGATGGGAGTGTTACATGGTGATGAGATTGCATATTTCTTTGGAGTACCTCTTCACCCAGAAAATGGATTTAGTGAAGAAGACAAGAAATTAAGTAGACAGATGATGGCTTATTATGCTAACTTTGCAAGAACAGGGTAAGTATATAAAATACATTGATGATATTATTCTAACATCAGATATGGATACAATACGGTGCTCCTTTGTTGTCAGTTTACAACAAGGTAAAAATGAAATTAGTGTTGATTGATCCGATAGGCAAAAACAGTAGAACGTGCAATTCAGATATAAAAAATATGAATAAATAGATAATAAAAAAAATACATTCCTTGCGAGAATCATATGGGTGGGTGGGGTCTCAGGATCAAGAATAGACCACCGTTACCCACCAGCTGCCCTGAATCTGAAAACAAATCAATTTATTCAGTCCTACATAATAATATATCATAATGTTACAAATAAGTATAAAAGAAAATTGAAATTGTAGGATGTGGGAGACTCATTAAGACCAGAGGTTGCATGCATGAGAGCCACCCAGTAAATTCAATAATGAAAATTTTAAAAGAAAACACAAAGAAAATTTTCCTTCTTAAAAATAAAATTCAAAATCATTTTTTTTTTTTTTGTACAAAGAAGTATTTTATAAAGCTTTTCTCTTGAAAAAAAATTAAGCATAGTAAACATTAAGTATAATCTAATTTTCACTTTATTTTAATGAACAAACAACTCAATCTGACATTTTTGTTTGTTTAAAATGTATTTAAAAAAAAAACAAATGGAGTCCAACTTGGGGCAATTTATATACATATACAATGTATATCCCGCAATCTGTCGCCATCTCGGTGAGCGTCACAGTGTTTAGACTGTACAATATCATTACATATTTAAGACTGCCAGTCTCCTTCCTATTTATACAACTAGAGGGCTCGCACATAGTTGTCCTCTGAGGTTGGTCTTAATGTCAGTAATTCTGTATGAATCATGAATATTATAATTTACTTTTATATCAGAAACACTATGTCCAACTGAATCCAATTAACAGTGCTTCTTCTACAGTAACCTGATATAGCAAGTTATGCATTTCTGTATGAATTAAAGCTCAGTTGATTGCGCAAGTAAATGTTATTTAACTTATGATTGTTATTCTCCAGATGATGACGAGGACAAGACGGTGACTATTATGATAATCATCATATAACATTCCAGACTTGCATTGCAATTCTAGAAACCTATTACAAGGTCCAGATAATTGAAATTAATTATGCCTGATAATGATAACCACTAATTCACCATCTGCACCCTCCACTTTTTTGGAACCGCATAAAAAATTTTTAATTTTTAAAATTCATGAATCAGTCCTACTGCATTACTGTAAATTCTTTGCCTGCATTTTCAGAAATCCAAACAATAAACATGATTCAAAATTGGAAGTTTACAGCTGGCCTATCTATAATGCCGAAAACCTTGAATATCTGGTCCTGAATGGGTCACTGGTTGCTGGCAATCCGGTCATAGGCCGAGGTCCCAGAGCCGATTACTGCATGTTCTGGGGAGCGTATTATCCAGAATTGCAGGCGAAAACAGGTAAGATCCTTACATACTGTAGTAGATGAGTAGATGAGGTTGTTGCCGTAAAACTTGTCAGTATGTTGTTACTGCATGGTGTGAATGATGGAGTGTTTTCAAATTGAGGCAACAAAAAAAGCAGATGCACAGATGTTTTTCATCAAACTAATTATGGGTAATTTCACTTAGGGCCATAGGCTTAGCCTGCGAGCCATCAGGCTGTCTTTTGGACGGCCAACAATTATAGGACGGCCACTTTTACCATGATGGCTTGGACTGCTTGGCCTAGCCTAATTGGACCTGGTCTTCCTTTAAGAAATTCATTATATTCTTCAAATCTATCAAATGTTACATTAAACTAAAGCTAAATCATATTTATGTTAAAAAAATCTACTTTTATGATTGGATGTACGTTGTTTTCATACCAATATTTGGTGGGGATTCCCAAAAATGTAAGGTTGAACCATTGCCTACCCAGCGAAAAGTTCACTTAACGCGTCGTGTTTAAAAAATTTATATTACACTGGAAAATGAACGGTTCTGAGTCACCCACAACCGTCACACGCACGTACCGGCTCTGCAAATACAATACTTGAGATTCGGTTCTATGACATAATATTGTTGGGGTTCGTAACTCTCTTGTTATAATTAATTCATGAAAGTTATATTATTAGTTAACAAAATACAGTAGGTCTAGCCCTAATTCATGAAAGTTATATTGTTAGTTAACAAAATACAGTAGGTCTAGCCCTATCTTTCGATTTGGAGGACCTAGAGTAGACTAAGGCGAGAGATGAAGATGCATCTGCGTAAAAACATTACAATCTATGTCTGTAACTGAAATATCTTTGTGATAGCTAATTCAACACTATTCTTTGAAGACAAAATTCCAACATTTAAACACCTTAAAATGCTCTATAAAGATCATAACTTTCTTTTTTTTCCTATGTTTGGGAGGGGGTGTGGACCCGAGTGGGCGTGGACCCGAGTGGGCGTGGCCTGCCCTTCGGCTCAGAGCCATTCCCACTGGCTTCCATTTTGGACGGCCTTTTTTGTTTTTCTGGCTAAATCCCTGCCATTCATTTTCTTTCTAGAGTGTACAAAACATACTGTACGTCAGTAGGGAGGAGTCAACAGTGTTTATATTCTTTATAAAAATTAAATATTCAGGGTCAGATTCAAGTTGAGGTGCAGTCGCCTCTCCTAAACTCTAAATTTTAAAATAATTTTTTATAATAGTGTTTAAAGGGTTAGGCTATTGATCAGTCTTCTTTTGTAGCCTCAAAATTCAAGAAATTGCACTGAGACATCTTCTTTACTATCGCGTTCAAACTGTAATACGTTCCAGCCAGTTTTAAAAAAAAATGAGCAATTACAGTCAAATCTGAGTTTAATGTCTGTCAAATTTAAACTGAATGTCTGCCTTGTTCAAAATCCAACAAGCTTTTTAAAGCACATTTTTACATTATTATTGTTGTCTCAGATTGGTTAAATTTTAAAGGATCTGAGGATCTTTTTACACTTTCCTACTCTTTCTGATTTTCTTATTTGTAAGTATCAAAAATGATAATGCAGCTCTGCAGGTTTCAATAGGTATTTTCTAGCATCTACCATTTTTTTAAATTTATTTATTTATTTTTTATTATTTATTCAGAAAAACAATAACAAAACGAAACAAAGAATACAATTTACAAAAGAAATAAAGAGTAGTTCCTAGGAAGATTCAACAGCAACAAAATGTCACTATCATCAGCAATGATGTGAACTTCCACCTACAATTTATACTTACAAAAAGATTGAAATTAAGTAACCGACAATAGTACACATATTAATTAATGATTGCCAAATACGATAGTAAATATGAAAGTAAATATAAATTAATTGGCAATATTAGAAAAAATGTATATATGCGTGATTAACATGATCAGGTTCATAAACAGTTATATCAGCTGCAATTCTATTGAATTCATTTGAATAGCATGGCCTCTATAGATTAATTATCTAAAGAAATAATTTTTTAACTTCCTTTCAGAACATTAATATTAGTGCATCTTTAACTTCCATCTGTAAAGAGTCCCATATCCTACAGAATCTTGTTGGAATACAGTATTTTGCGCTGTCAGTTCTGGATTTCAATCTCTTAATTGAGATTTTTTTCGCAGTATCGCGGATTAACAGTTAATAGGCTAGTAAAGTACTCATTATTTTGTAACAATAGCTTGCAACAAAAAGTACTGTGGAAAGATCATGTTGGTTCTAAGTTGACATCATTTTCAGCTTTAATAAACGTTCATTGTATGATTCCTCAAACCGTTTCTGATGAGATATCATCCAAGTTGCGGCCTTTATAATTTTTGGAATGATTTGAGAGCAAATAAGGGTGCTGTCATGTTTTTTATTTTGTAGAAAGTTTGTCATTCTAAACTCTTCAGAATAGAGGAGAGTACATTTACGAATACCTACAAAACAAATAACCCCCACCTTTCCCCCTCCACATCTCTGTTAATTAATTCCTAGTGATACATTGTTCTAAAATGGGCGGTCCACTTGCAAAATGCTTCCGACGGCTATGCTAGAGGTGCCAAAAACTGTTAAAATTCCAAAGCTCAGCCCCAACCATGGTAAGATGGTGGTGTGGACTTTCCATCTATAACTCCGTCAGCAGGCTGTTGTGTTCAAAATTCCAGGATCCACCACTGATTATTAATGGGAGAGAGGAATTTACAGACCTTAAAAATGATGAAATATAAACCCCTTTTAGTCTGTTGTAAAAATATATACAGTATACAAATAGTCACTGCTGAATTATATTTAGTTAGAGTAAGGGCTATGTAAATCTAATTAAGTAAGTATAGATACAAGTAGTCATTGCTGAATTACATTTAGTTAGACTATGGCCATGTAAATCTAATATGTCGCTTGCGTTAATATAGACAGTTAAGTTATATTTTTCAAGAGAGTATTAAAAAAAGAAAAAAAATTCAATTCAATTCAATTCAACATAACATCTATTAACTTCATTTTTTTTTTTGCAAAAGAAAAAATATAACAGACAATGATAAAGTAGTTAATAATTATAAAAGGAAGAATGCAAAGACCCGAGAAGATAAGAAAACAAATCTTGTGTAGGGACAGCCTGGGAAATAACATTAAAAAAAAGAAGCAAACAGGCACAGAACAGGACAAAACATGACACAAATCAACAGAAAACCAAACACAAAACAAATCAGAATTAGCCCCGATTAACTACCCGAGGTGGCAAAGGCAATGGGAGAGAAAAGAAATTAATAACTTTTAATTAAGTGTGTTTTAAGCTGTTTAGAAAACCATTTCTTTTAATTGGCATTAACTAAATGCGATGGTAAAGAGTTCCAAAGTTTGGGACCTGAAAATCTAATATTATGCTGGAAGTAATTGGTTCTATGGGTTGGTATATGTTTCATCGTGTTGCACTTTCTTATAATAATCTAGTTCAAATTTTTCCTAATATTGATATTTTTAATTGTAATATTTCTATTTTTAATCTTATACTAAATACCGGTTTTTAATATATTATTTTTTTCATGCTTTTTACGTTTAAAAAAAAATTAAAAAAAAAAAACAAAAATTATATATTTTTTTGAATGATATTATATATTTTTATA